AACAAGTTTGATAGCTCTGAGAATAACTTTAGATGTCTCTGAAAATAACTTTGATGAAAGAAGATGTCTTAGATTAACTTTTGATGACTTTGAAAACAAGTTTGATGAACAAAGATGTTTTGAAAGTTTCTCTGACGAACGAAGGTGACTCTGAGAATAACTTTTATGTCTTAGAGAAGAACATTGATGGTTTAGAGAGAATATCTTTGATGAAAAATGATGTCTTAGATTAACTTTGATGACTCTGTGAATAAGTTTGATGACTTTGAGAACAAGTTTGATAGCTCTGAGAATGACTTTTATGCCTCTGAGAATAACTTTGATGAATAAAGATGTTTTGGAAAGTTTCTCTGAAGAACGAAGGTGACTCTGAGAATAACTTTTGTTAGCTCTTTGAATAACTTTGATGTCTTTGAAACAACTTTGATGAACGAGAGTGAGTTAGAGATTACCTTTGTTAACTCTGAGATCAACTTTGATGAACAAAAGAGAGTTAGAGATTACATTTGATAACTCTAAGATTAACTTTAGATGTCTCTGAGACAAACTTTTATAACATAGAAATTAACTTTAATGACCAAAAGTGAGTTAGAGAATACCTTTTGATGACTCCGAGAATAATTTTGATAGCTCTGAGAATGACTTTTGTTGTCTTGGAATAACTTTTGATTGTTCTGAGAATAACTTTTGTTGTCTTGGAATAACTTTTGATTGTGCTGAGAATAACTTTGAGGGCTTAGAGAATGTCTTTGATGAATGGAAGAGTCCCATTGAAGTCTTAAGGAAGTCTTTGATGTCTCGAAGGATGTCTTAGAGTGTAACTTTGGTGTCTTTGAGTAAGTCCTTGATGTATTGAAGAGTGTCTTTGATTTCTCGAAGAGTAACTTTGGTGTAACGGAGAGCACCTTTGACTATTTTTCTTACTTAGCGACATATAATTTTAGTTACGAAAGTGTTGAAAAAGTTACATTTGACTATTTTAGTGCTCCACAAAGTATAAATGTCAGTTAAGAACGACGATGATAGATATCTTTGACTATATTTTCTTACTTGACTATGGATAAAGTTAGTTATGAACAGTGCTGAAAAGATTCCTTTGACAATTTTTAGCTAAGCGAAAGGCTGTTTTAGTTAAGAACGGTGTTGAATGAGGTTAATCCTGACTATTTTCAGATGAGAGAAGTGATATTTCAGTTAAGAAATGACAAGGAAACATGATGAAGTAACTATTTTTAGTTGACCGATGAATACTTTTAGTTGAGCAAAAGCCAAAACATGATGAACATGACTTTTTCTGATGATTGGCAGATAATTTTAGTTAAGAAATGACAATGAAACACGATGAACACGGTTATTTTCTGATGAATGGGGAATATGTTTAGTTAAGAAATGATGAAAGTGACTTTTTCTGATGATTGGCAGATAATTTTAGTTATGAAATGACAATGAAACATGATGAACACGGTTATTTTCTGATGACTGGGGAATAAGTTTAGTTAAGAAATGATGAAAGTGACTTTTTCTGATGATTGGCAGATAATTTTAGTTATGAAATGACAATGAAACATGATGAACACGGTTAATTTCTGATGACTGGGGAATAAGTTTAGTTAAGAAATGATGAAAGTTATTATTTTAGTTGATTGACGATGGATAAAAGCTAGTTATGAACAGTTTTGGAAAGTTTCCTTTGACAATTTTTTCTTGATGAAACATAGTGCCTGTTAAGAAAGTGCTGAAAAAAGTTTCCTTTGACAATTTTTAGCTAAGAGAAAGGTTGTTTTAGTTAAGAACAGTGTTGAACGAGGCTATTTCTGACTATTTTTAGTTGACTGGATAATAAGTTTAGTTATGAACAGTGTTGGAAAGATTCCTTTGACAATTTTTTGGTTGATTGGATAATAAGTTAGTTGAGAAATGAGGAAAGTGACTATGTTTCAGTTGATTGGCGAAAGATTTTTAGTTAAGAAGTTACAAGAAAGGTTTGTCTTTGTAAATTTGGAACTGAATAAAGTGTAGATTTGTTTAAGAACATGGCTGGTAGAACTATTAAGTTGACTATGAGAATTACTTTGACATAGTTTTGCAAATAAAAACTGGGTGACTAAAATTGTTGAGGAAACTGTAATGCAGTATAATATTATTTGACAAAGAACTAGTTAGTGAATGGAAGAAACAAATTGGTTAAAAGAAACAAAGAACATAAAAAATTGAGGTTAAGTAGGGAATGAACACAGTGAACATACGGTGAACACAGAAAACATGTAAGAAAAAGTTGATGAATACAGTGAACATGCTGGGAATATGAACTTACAGAGAACATGAAAACATGATAAGGAGAATAGGGAATACAAAGAATGAACAATGGACTTGTGAAGAACATGGAGAATATGACAAAGAATGTAGAAAACATGTAAGTGAAGGTGAAAAACGAAGTGATCTTGTGAGGAACATGAACTTGTAGAGGAACATGAATATTGACAAAGAACACAAAATATGGAAGTTAGCATGAATATTGAGTATAAAAGTTGTAAAGAGAACATGTGATGAACATGAAAACATAGAAAATATGACTAGACTTTGTAGAGAACATAATGAGACTAAGAGAAAGATTACAGAAAAAATGGAGATACTTGTGAAAATATGAACTGAATGGGACTGTGAACATTTGTAGAACATGGAGTGAACACGGATGAGAATACGAAGAACACAGTGAATATAGAGAAAATATGCAAATACAGGGGGACAAGAGCTGGAGCTCTGTAACTGACTTGATCTTATTTACTACGTCTGAAATATGACTGTTTAAAATTTCAGGGGGATTGGACTGCTAGTAGCGAAAATGTGGTCTCTGCCAAATTTGGGTCTTTAATTGGACTCTGATTAATTTCGATCATGAACTGGACTCTGAATATTTTGGCACAAAGTAGACTCTGGCGAATTTTGCTAGAAAACTGGACTCTGATTAATTTAGATCATGAACTGGACTCTGAATATTTTGGCACAAAGTAGACTCTGGCGAATTTTGCTAGAAAACTGGACTCTGATGAATTTCGATCAAGAACTGGACTCTGGCGAATTTCTGTTGATAATTGGACTCTGATGAATTTCGATCAAGAACTGGACTCTGGCGAATTTCTGTTGATAATTGGACTCTGATGAAATATGAGCTTAAAACTGTCTCTGACTAATTTTGCTCTCAAAGTAGACTCTGTTCATTTTTTAGGTATAAATTGGACTCTGATGAAATATGAGCTAAAAACTGTCTCTGACTAATTTTGCTCTCAAAGTAGACTCTGGCGAATTTTCGGTATAAACTGGACTCTGATGAAATAAGAGCTTAAAACTGGGCTCTGTTCAATTTGGTCTTTACAGATGAAATAGCCATAAATGGATATAAAACTAAATGTTATGGATAAGTTGTCTGTTTTCCTTAACAAAACATCTAAGACAATATTCTCTGAAAATGGTCCTTTTACAAATTCGGTTATAAACATATAAATAAACTTCTATGATTATTTGAAACTCTGAAAATAGTTGTAAGGAAATAGGAGGAGGAGAGAGAGAGAGAGAGGAGGGATGGTCGAGATATTATGAAGAAGATAAGATAAGATAAGAGGTCTGGCTGGCCGGGCGTAAAGTAAATAAAGGTGACGCGACAGATTGCGAGGTAAGGGGGGGGAGGGAGGGAGGGGGGTGTGATGTACGAGACTTGAAACCCCTGGCCCGCACAGGTGATTTTCTAAATTTATATGAATAACTAAGGCTTACATAGACGATTTTGTAAGTTGAAAACATGTAAAATATGTCCGTAGAGTTCTCCTGGAAGCCCTAAAGAGCTACATACGTTACTTGAATTTGTCCCATAAGGCCTTAACAAACTTCTATGTCTCGGAAATTATTTTTCTCATAAGAACTTTAACAAACTCCTTACTTCTAAAATCTGTGACTCACAAAATTTACCTGAAAACCCTGACACGCTACACACGATATTTGAACCTGAAAACCCTGACACGCACACACGATATTGGAACCTGAAAACCCTGACACGCTACAGACGATATTTGGCCTGAAAATTTACCTGAAAACCCTGGCTCACAGACACGATATTTCCCAGAAAAAAAATGGGGACCTGTGGCATGTCAAGTCCACAGGGGTCCTCTGGCAAAAAAAAAAATGGGGACCTGTGGCATGTCAAGTCCACAGGGGTCCTCTGGCAAAAAAAAAAAAATGTTCTGTGGCGCTTACATTCCACAGGGGTCCTCCGCCCAAAAAAAAAATGTTCTGTGGCGCTTACATTCCACAGGGGTCCTCCGCCCAAAAAAAAAAAATGTGAACACCCGGGACCTGTGAACACCCGGGACCTGTGAACACCCGGGACCTGTGAACACCCAGGACCTGTGAACACCCGGGACCTGTGAACACCTGGGACCTGTGAACACCTGGGACCTGTGAACACCCGGGACCTGTGAACACCTGGGACCTGTGAACACCCGGGACCTGTGAACACCCGGGACCTGTGAACACCTGGGACCTGTGAACACCTGGGACCTGTGAACACCTGGGACCTGTGAACACCCGGGACCTGTGAACACCTGGGACCTGTGAACACCTGGGACCTGTGAACACCCGGGACCTGTGAACACCCGGGACCTGTGAACACCTGGGACCTGTGAACACCCGGGACCTGTGAACACCCGGGATCTGTGAACACCCGGGACCTGTGAACACCCAGGACCTGTGAACACCCGGGACCTGTGAACACCCGGGACCTGTGAACACCCGGGACCTGTGAACACCCGGGACCTGTGAACACCGGGGACCTGTGAACACCCGGGACCTGTGAACACCTGGGACCTGTGAACACCCGGGACCTGTGAACACCCAGAGGTGCGTCCAATTCTTCATAAATATTTTTCTAATAATTTGGTAAGATGAATGGCGCATTAAGGGGAACATTTGTTCTTGAGAGAACACAATAACAGAGAGAGAACACTTACTCTATAGTAGAGGTCAGAGCGGAGTAGCAGGCCCCGGACCGTCCTCCTCCACCGGTGTCTTGGGCAACACTGACCGTGGCGGCCTCCACACCTGCAGTTTTACTACATGTGGCGGCCTCCACACCTGCTGTGTTACCACATGTGGCAGCCTCCACACCTGCTGTGTCACCACATGTGGCGGCCTCCACACATGCTATGTCACCACATGCGGCTGCCTCCACACCTGCAGTGTCACCACATGTGGCGGCCTCCACACCTGCTGTGTCACCTCATTTGGCGGCCTCCACACCTGCAGTGTTACCACATGTGGCGGCCTCCACACCAGCTGTGTCACCTCATTTGGCGGCCTCCACACCTGCAGTGTTACCTCTTGTGGAGGCCTCCACACCTGCTGTGTCACCTCATGTGGCGGCCTCCACACATGCAGTGTTACCACATTTGGTGGCCTCCACACCTGCTGTGTTACCACATGTAGCAGCCTCCACACCTGCTGTGTCACCACATGTGGCGGCCTCCACACATGCTATGTCACCACATGCGGCTGCCTCCACACCTGCAGTGTCACCACATGTGGCGGCCTCCACACCTGCTGTGTCACCTCATTTGGCGGCCTCCACACCTGCAGTGTTACCACATGTGGCGGCCTCCACACCTGCTGTGTCACCTCATTTGGCGGCCTCCACACCTGCAGTGTTACCTCTTGTGGAGGCCTCCACACCTGCTGTGTCACCTCATGTGGCGGCCTCCACACATGCAGTGTTACCACATTTGGTGGCCTCCACACCTGCTGTGTTACCACATGTGGCAGCCTCCACACCTGCTGTGTCACCACATGTGGCGGCCTCCACACATGCTATGTCACCACATGCGGCTGCCTCCACACCTGCAGTGTCACCACATGTGGCGGCCTCCACACCTGCTGTGTCACCTCATTTGGCGGCCTCCACACCTGCAGTGTTACCTCTTGTGGAGGCCTCCACACCTGCTGTGTCACCTCATGTGGCGGCCTCCACACATGCAGTGTTACCACATTTGGTGGCCTCCACACCTGCTGTGTTACCACATGTGGCGGCCTCCACACCTGCTGTGTCACCACATGTGGCGGCCTCCACACATGCTATGTCACCACATGCGGCTGCCTCCACACCTACAGTGTCACCACATGTGGCGGCCTCCACACCTGCAGTGTCACCACATGTGGCGGCCTCCACACCTGTAGTGTCACCACATGTGGCGGCCTCCACACCTGTAGTGTCACCACATGTGGCGGCCTCCACACCTGCTGTGTCACCACATGTTGCGGCCTCCACACCTGCTGTGTCACCACATGTTGCGGCCTCCACACCTGTAGTGTCACCACATGTGGCGGCCTCCACACCTGCTGTGTCACCACATGTTGCGGCCTCCACCCCGGCAGTGTCACAATTCATTTAGCTAAGCAAGTTACAGTCTTGATGAGCTAGTTACAAAATTCAGTATAAGTCGTCACATCAACAACGGGTTCGAGATCGACCTCAAGTACAGGTTCTAAATTAAGCAACTGACATATGTGGAGAGCTAGTGTCAAAATTTATATGTTTGTCCTGCACACCGCCCCCCATCCAGTGGGCAGTGGTGGATAGGTTACAATCACTCAGTTACTACCTACAGTTAGCAACCTGTGGATATTTGGCTAAAATTTCTAGTAGCAGATCATTTTGATTGAAATATTTACTCATCTCTGGAACATTGGTTATAGAATTGCCTCTGAATTCACGTATCTTTTCGCACTCCATCACATAGTGACGGAGGGTGTGCGAATAATTTTGTTGACACAGTTTACATTTGGTCAGGTCTACATCAGCAGATAATGAGAGTTCCCAGAGATACTTGTAACCGAGTCTAAGCCGAGCAGTAGTAACATCTAGAGGTCTGCTGAGACTTACAGCAGAGTCAAAGCCGAGCAGTAGTAACATCTAGAGGTCTGCTGAGACTTACAGCAGAGTCTAAGCCGAGCAGTAGTAACATCTAGAGGTCTGCTGAGACTTACAGCAGAGTCTAAGCCGAGCAGTAGTAACATCTAGAGGTCTGCTGAGACTTACAGCAGAGTCTAAGCCGAGCAGTAGTAACATCTAGAGGTCTGCTGAGACTTACAGCAGAGTCTAAGCCGTGTAGAAGTACCCACATTGTTTGAGTTAGGGATATACCATTCGTCATATATAGAGACTGTTATTATAAGATTCCCCCACTTTGTACCCGCAAGATAACGTAAGATTTTAATGGTTGACAGATGTTAATCTTCTTGTTTGAGAAGCCGTTCACTTGAGACAGTTAAGCAAGTCCCAGCTGTGTCTGGGTACAAGTGACAGGATGAACAACCCAGCGGGTTTTCTTCCTATTGGGGAGTGTTGTACATGCTGCTATGGCGGTGTGTCCACTCACAGGATGAGTGGCGCTGCCCAATACTGTCACTATGGTGGTGTGACCACTCACAGGATGTGTGGCGCTGCCCAATACTGTCACTATGGTGGTGTGTCCACTCACAGGATGAGTGGCGCTGCCCAGTACTGTCACAATGGTGGTGTGACCACTCACAGGATGTGTGGCGCTGCCCAATACTGTCACTATGGCGGTGTGTCCACTCACAGGATGAGTGGCACTGCCCAATACTGTCACTATGGCGGTGTGTCCACTCACAGGATGAGTGGCACTGCCCAATACTGTCACTATGGCGGTGTGTCCACTCACAGGATGAGTGGCGCTGCCCAATACTGTCACTATGGCCGTGTGTTCACTCACATGATGAGTGGCACTGCCCAATACTGTCACTATGGCGGTGTGTTCACTCACAGGATGAGTGGCGCTGCCCAATACTGTCACTATGGCAGTGTGTTCACTCACAGGATGAGTGACACTGCCCAATACTGTCACTATTGCAGTGTGTTCACTCACAGGATGAGTGGCACTGCCCAAGACTGTCACTATGGCTGTGTGTCCACTCACAGGATGAGTGGCACTGCCCAATACTGTCACTATGGCTGTGTGTCCACTCATAGGATGAGTGGCACTGCCCAATACTGTCACTATGGCAGTGTGTCCACTCACAGGATGAGTGGCACTGCCCAATACTGTCACTATGGCGGTGTGTTCACTCACAGGATGAGTGGCACTGCCCAATACTGTCACTATGGCGGTGTGTCCACTCACAGGATGAGTGGCACTGCCCAATACTGTCACTATGGCGGTGTGTCCACTCACAGGATGAGTGGCGCTGCCCAATACTGTCACTATGGCAGTGTGTCCACTCACAGGATGAGTGGCACTGCCCAATACTGTCACTATGGCGTGCTTGTCACTTTCTCAAATGTCAGGCTATCTTGAGGTTATCTTGAGATGATTTCGGGGCTTTAGTGTCCCCGCGGCCCGGTCCTCGACCAGGCCTCCACCCCCAGGAAGCAGCCCGTGACAGCTGACTAACACCCAGGTACCTATTTTACTGCTAGGTAACAGGGGCATAGGGTGAAGGAAACTCTGCCCATTGTTTCTCGATCGGAATCAGGATTGGCAATGGGAAGGGGGAGGGTTGGAGCCAGGATAGGTTGTGGGAGGATGGATTTTGGGAGCAGGATATGCTGGCGAAGGGATTTGAAACCAGAAAAGCCTGTGGGCGGAGGGGGTGCGAGCCGGATAGGATGTAGGAAGGGGGCAGGAATTGGTATGTGGTGAGATTAGGGTCAAAAATTATGGAGTGGGTCTAGAGGCCAGGAGAGGGGTACGAAGGGCAGGCCACTGTTTGGAGGTTGGCCAATAAAGGGGTGTGAAGGGTCTGTTTAATACACTTTGTACTCAAGAGGTTTTTGAAAATGCCAATCTTAATTACTTTACGAAACCAATGCCAATTTAAGAAGAAAATTAAATGTACACAATTTAGCAAATTGCCTTTTGTTATTGGTCAAATCTAAAATGAGTTAGGATCGCTCAGTCACCGAAGCCATGTAAATCTGCTCAATATATAAATTCAGGTGAGGCTGACAATGTACAAGACATTGGCACAATAAAATTATAAACCCAAGCAAACCTAATTAATGGGATCAATGAAAAGTTAATTCATTAATTCGCACCAAACTCGACTGGCACATTCCCGCACCATGCACCTGGTGACCTAAATGTCGCACAATACCAGCAGACGCCATTACAATTTCCGATCAACGGCGTGGGTTGAAATACAAAAAAAAAATGATTTAATCATACTTCCATTTTCCAATTAACAAATCTGCCAAGATTTGTATGTTCTTGTAGAGCAAAGATAATGTATTAGTACTTAGTTGTGACACAGATGCCACTACGTGAGCCGGTAACTTAACAGTATCATGACACGCCCCCCCCCCACACCAAGCGCCCGCATACACCAGCCAGAAAAGATCCTAGAAATCACATGACGTGCACCTATGACGTCACAGCTTATGCTTGCCCGGGAAACATGCCTAAATTGTGTCAAGAGACGCCGGTGTTGTCCATTCACGTGGCGGCGATTTGGCGCCGAGAGGCAGCGAGGAGAGCCAGGGGAAAAGGGGTACTAAAGGGCGGGGTTGACGCAGTCTTGTGCATTCATGTGCGGCTACTGCAGACGTCACAGCCCGTGGTGGTGGTGAGAAGCGGCGGACACTGCATCTTATCTTATCTTGATCGATGAAGGCCAGCCTAACCCCACCACCGGTAAAAAAGTGTCACCGTGTTTCCAGGCTAGGGCAGATAAAACAATTAGTCATGGACCAGTCCATGGACGACTCGCTAGTTTTGTCAAACCGGAGAGAAAGTCGACAGATAATGGTGAGTTAAGAGGCAGTGACAGCGAGGATCAAAACAGTAGCAGTGATCAGTGCAGCCATTGCGGAAGGCAGATTCCCATTGAAAGTAGCAAGTAAACTATTAATGATGATGGTACCTTGTAGTCTTTATATCCTGATCTAAATTTTGTAGTGGACTATGGTGAGTGGGCAGTGTGGAATGGTCGTGGCGACCCAGTTCTACACGTCCAGTTGAGAGAGTGGGCACAGGTGATGTTAATTGCTCCACTTGATGCAAATACCATGGCTAAGATTGCACAGGGACTGTGTGACAATCTTCTTACATGCATAGTGCGTGTTTGGGATGCTGCACGCCCTCTTGTCTTCTGTCCAACAATAAATGCACACATGTTCAAACATCCTCCTACTATGAGACACACCTCAATTCTGAAGGAATTAGGTTATATAGAGGTATGTGTGGTGAGCAAACGTCTGGCGTGTGGGGACGTGAGTGCAGGAGCCATGGCCGAACTGGACAATATTGTAAATGCAGTCATGCAAGAGTTACCTGGTGCCCACAGGGTGTCTCATGGACCATTTTAAATCTGTAGAATTGCCTTAATTTTACTAATGCAAAGAAAGTATGTAGCTCAGTTTGTTCGATAAAGTCCACACTGAGGGCTATCTCCATTATTTCATTAAATTGTGAACATACCCTGCATTGCTATATCATTGTCTCAAAACAATATCATATTTTTTAATTTCAAACTGCCAACTTGTACTCTTAGATCTACATTTTAATTTTATCTGCAACACTTTAGAATGAGATATGACAAGTATAAGCCTGGGTAATGCTAACTATCATTTTTAATTATTATTTAACAAGCAGGAAATCTGTTGTGTAATAAAATATGAGAATAATAGTGCTTGGTGTAACTAAATGAAATGGGTAACATAATTAACATTAATTTTTTGGGGACTTGCCGGCCGACCATGGCGACGGATGGTGGTTCGCGCAACGTTTCTCCCGTGGATATTTCCGATCCCTTTGAGGGTTTTTGGGACCTGTTGTCCCTTGGCACGCATTCCGGTCACGACGTTCTCCCGGTCTTCGAGGGGAATCGCGAGGGTGTTTTTTCTGAACAGTAAACATTATAGTAACGCTAATATATTGGAGGTGAAACGTCGCCTGTGTCCTGCGGTGCCCTGTGACCCCCAGCAACCTCTGTTTTCATGCCCTTCACTCCCTCCCTCCCGGTCAGACGAGTTCTCCTGGCCTACGAGTTCATCATCGCCTTTGATGCCGATACGTCCGCTGATCGAAGTGTTTTTGGAAATAGTAGGGCACGCAGTCCTTTCTATCAAGCCGTTCCCGAGTTCTTTAAGATCAAGGTTCACGATTTCAGGCCGAATAAACGCAGGAACTTGATTGCAGTGGACCATGCTTCCTCCGGGGGCTTAGTGCTTTCGGACATTACTGATATCTGTGGGTTTAAGGTCCGTTGTTATACACCTCTGGGTGACCATTTTATACGATATGTGGTCCAGCATGTTGTTGGCGTTAGTAAGGACGATAGGGCGCCTGACAGCTGGGTGGACAGTGCTTCGGATTCGTAGTCCTGAGGTTCCGGGTTTGATCCTCAGTGGAGGCGGAGAGAAATGGGCAAAATGTTTCTTTCACCCTGATGGCCCTGTTCACCTACTAGTAAATGGGTACCTGGTAGTTAGACAGCTGGTACGGGCTGCTTCCTGGGGGGTGTGTAACAAAAAGAAGGCCTGGTCGAGGACCGGGCCGCGGGGACGCTAAGCCCCGAAAACATCTCAAGATAACCTCAAGACATGGCAGTGTGACCACTCACAGGATGAGTGACGCTGCCCAATACTGCCACTATGGCAGTGTGTCCACTCACAGGATGAGTGACGCTGCCCAATACTGTCACTATGGCGGTGTGTCCACTCACAGGATGAGTGACGCTGCCCAATACTGTCACTATGGCGGTGTGTCCACTCACAGGATGAGTGGCACTGCCCAATACTGTCACTATGGCAGTGTGTCCACTCACAGGATGAGTGACGCTGCCCAATACTGTCACTATGGCGGTGTGTCCACTCACAGGATGAGTGACGCTGCCCAATACTGTCACTATGGCGGTGTGTCCACTCACAGGATGAGTGGCGCTGCCCAATACTGCCACTATGGCAGTGTGTCCACTCACAGGATGAGTGACGCTGCCCAATACTATCACTATGGCGGTGTGTCCACTCACAGGATGAGTGGCGCTGCCCAATACTGTCATTATGGCGGTGTGTCCACTCACAGGATGAGTGGCGCTGCCCAATACTGTCACTATGGCAGTGTGTCCACTCACAGGATGAGTGACGCTGCCCAGTACTGTCACTATGGCGGTGTGTCCACTCACAGGATGAGTGGCGCTGCCCAATACTGTCACTATGGCGGTGTGTCCACTCACAGGATGAGTGGCGCTGCCCAATACTGTCACTATGGCGGTGTGTCCACTCACAGGATGAGTGGTGCTGCCCAATACTGTCACTATGACAGTGTGTCCACTCACAGGATGAGTGGCACTGCCCAATACTGTCACTATGGCAGTGTGTCCACTCACAGGATGAGTGGCGCTGCCCAATACTGTCACTATGACGGTGTGTCCACTCACTGGATGAGTGGCGCTGCCCAATAAACTCGCCCTTCGGGGCAAAATTAAAAAAAAAGTTAGTAACTTCTAAGAGTCTGCTGATTATATTGTATGATCTATAGATGTGTGACTCATCTTGCATGATAGTATGATGATAGATGGAATGACTTTTGTCACTTTCGCTCAGATCTACAAGGTTTTGTTGAAGTTCTTGCTATATTTGTGCCCTCAGATTGCTTATAGGCAATCCAAGGTTATACTCAGTCCCTTCTTTAAAGGCAGAGCACTGCTAGAGCACCACAGAGAAGCCAGACTGGCTTCTGTCAGAAGATATGTCAATGAAGATCTGGATTACTGGTCCGTGTAATCATCAGTGATGAGAAACATTCACCTCAGCGACTCATTTTTTTTTTTTTTTTTTTTTTTTGAGATATATACAAGAGTTGTTACATTCTTGTACAGCCACTAGTACGCGTAGCGTTTCGGGCAAGTCCTTAATCCTATGGTCCCTGGAATACGATCCCCGCCGCGAAGAATCGTTTTTTCATCCAAGTACACATTTTACTGTTGCGTTAAACAGAGGCTACAGTTAAGGAATTGCGCCCAGTAAATCCTCCCCGGCCAGGATACGAACCCATGACATAGCGCTCGCGGAACGCCAGGCGAGTGTCTTACCACTACACCACGGAGACTGCTGACTCATGGCACTAACACTGCTGGCGTCCCATCTACACGCGACATGAACAACAATGTGTATATGAGATCGCCAGGAGTGGTTGTATATTGTGTAGTGTATGGGGCTGGAGTCACTTCCCGCCAAACACACACCGAAACTACGACGTTGTTACAACGTTCGAACAAGTTTTAACACCACCTAACTAGTTATAACAACCAATATAGCAAGTTGTAACAACGTTCTAATGCGTCATAAACACGTTAAGCCAAGATGTAACAACTTTATTACAAATTGTAACACGCGGAAAATAAAGACAGTTACGGTTTGTGTTTCCAGGGTTATACGGCGTTGGAGAACTTGTCGATATTCAGGGAGGCTTCTGGCAAGTTCCTTGAGGAGGCTATGCCAGTCAGAACAATGAGTCAACGCTCTGTGGTTATGCCATTCAGAACAATGAGTCAACGCTCTGTGGCTATGCCATTCAGAACAATGAGTCAACGCTCTGTGGTTATGCCATTCAGAACAATGAGTCAACGCTCTGTGGCTATGCCAGTCAGGACAATGAGTCAACGCTCTGTGACTATGCCAGTCAGAACAATGAGTCAAAGCTCTGTGGTTATGCTAGTCAGAACAATGAGTCAACGCTCTGTGACTATGCCAGTCAGAACAATGAGTCAACGCTCTGTGACTATGCCAGTCAGAACAATGAGTCAACGTTCTGTGACTATGCCAGTCAGAACAATGAGTCAGGACTCCACGTATAAAAGCATTTGTTACACTGGTCATATATCTGTCTGGGCATTCTGAGTGACCACTCATACATACACATTCATACACATTGTTGGTGGGTGAGTATAATCTTGTGTAGTGTTGTCCTTGGTTCATGGGTCAAGTGAGTGAACCACTGACGCCTGGTTCATGGGTCAAGTGAGTGAACCGTCGACGTCTGGTTCATGGGTCAAGTGAGTGAACCGTCGACGCCTGGTTCATGGGTCAAGTGAGTGAACCGTCGACGCCTGGTTCATGGGTCAAGTGAGTGAACCGTTGACGTCTGGTTCATGGGTCAAGTGAGTGAACCACTGACGCCTGGTTCATGGGTCAAGTGAGTGAACCGCCGACGTCTGGTTCATGGGTCAAGTGAGTGAACCGTCGACGTCTGGTTCATGGGTCAAGTGAGTGAACCGTCGACGTCTGGTTCATGGGTCAAGTGAGTGAACCACTGACGCCTGGTTCATGGGTCAAGTTAAGCTCTGAGTTTCGGGTCAGTAGATCCTTTAATCGCGACAATTCCTGGAGGACTTTCACACACACACGGATGTATCATGGATATATAATGGATGTATCATGCATGTATCATGAATGTATCATGCATGTATCATGGATGTATCACGGATGTATCATGGATGTAGATGCGAGGTTTACCTTTGGTGTTGAAGAAGGTAAACCGATAAAAGGGTCTCCTGACCGGACACTGAGAGCTTCAGACTGACAGACACAGGACCACTGGCGCTCTACAATGGAACTTAGGAATAATAACTGGAGGAAATTAATACAATCGTCATATATAGTGTTGTAATCGAATACTTTTAATATTAAACCTTCAATTTGTATGAAACAAAACAATTATAAAACGTACCAAAGTTGCAAGAAATGTACCAAATCTGATACGAAAGTTCGAGCCTCGGCAACCCTGCTGTTGCATATTGTGTACAGGTAGTCAGACATTGTTAATAAGAAATTGGCTACAGGTAAACTCTTGCGAGCAGTTTACAGGTAACCAATTTTTTATTAACGACGCCAACTGGACTCTGCAATTCTGAAGAATTTCCTGGCGGGATTCAATACAATTTCCAGGAAAGATACATTATGTATATGATAATAATCCCCCGTGTGATATACTCAGCCGGACGGGAGGATTACTCCAGATAAATCCCAGGACACGTCCCAGCGCCGCTGCACCACGACGTGCACACAAAGACACCTTAATCAACACCTTATCTAGTCTGGATCATAATGTTCTTGAGAGTTGTCAAGAATATTGAGGCATTACTCAGCCCCGGCGTTCAGGCCCTTCTTCTTCCTTACCTTAGTGGTCCATCGCTGAGGTAAGTGGTCCATCGCTGAGGTAAGTGGTCCATCGCTGAGGTAAGTGGTCCATCGCTGAGGTAAGTGGTCCATCGCTGAGGTAAGTGGTCCATCGCTGAGGTAAGTGGTCCATCGCTGAGGTAAGTGGTCCATCGCTGAGGTAAGTGGTCCATCGCTGAGGTAAGTGGTCCATCGCTGAGGTAAGTGGTCCATCGCTGAGGTAAGTGGTCCATCGCTGAGGTAAGTGACCCAACACTGAGGTAAGTGGTCCATCACTGAGGTAAGTGGTCCAACACTGAGGTAAGTGGTCCAACACTGAGGTAAGTGGTCCAACACTGAGGTAAGTGACCCAACACTGAGGTAAGTGGTCCAACACTGAGGTAAGTGACCCAACACTGAGGTAAGTGACCCAACACTGAGGTAAGTGACCCAACACTGAGGTAAGTGACCCAACACTGAGGTAAGTGACCCAACACTGAGGTAAGTGGTCCAACACTGAGGTAAGTGGTCCAACACTGAGGTAAGTGGTCCATCGCTGAGGTAAGTGGTCCATCGCTGAGGTAAGTGGTCCATCGCTGAGGTAAGTGGTCCATCGCTGAGGTAAGTGGTCCATCGCTGAAGTAAGTGGTCCAACACTGAGGTAAGTGGTCCAAAACTGAGGTAAGTGGTCCATCGCTGAGGTAAGTGACCCAACACTGAGGTAAGTGACCCAACACTGAGGTAAGTGGTCCAACACTGAGGTAAGTGGTCCAACACTGAGGTAAGTGACGCAACACTGAGGTAAGTGACCCAACACTGAGGTAAGTGACCCAACACTGAGGTAAGTAGTCCAACACTGAGGTAAGTGACCCAACACTGAAGTAAGTGACCCAACACTGAGGTAAGTGGTCCAACACTGAGGTAAGTAACCCAACACTGAGGTAAGTGACCCAACACTGAGGTAAGTGGTCCAACACTGAGGTAAGTGGTCCAACACTGAGGTAAGTGGTCCAACACTGAGGTAAGTGACCCAACACTGAGGTAAGTGACCCAACACTGAGGTAAGTGACCCAACACTGAGGTAAGTGACCCAACACTGAGGTAAGTGGTCCAACACTGAGGTAAGTGACCCAACACTGAGGTAAGTGGTCCAACACTGAGGTAAGTGACCCAACACTGAGGTAAGTGGTCCAACACTGAGGTAAGTGGTCCAACACTGAGGTAAGTGGTCCATCGCTGAGGTAAGTGGTCGATCGCTGAGGTAAGTGGTCCATCGCTGAGGTAAGTGGTCCATCGCTGAGGTAAGTGGTCCATCGCTGAGGTAAGTGGTCCATCGCTGAGGTAAGTGGTCAATCGCTGAAGTAAGTGGTCCAACACTGAGGTAAGTGGTCCAACACTGAGGTAAGTGGTCCAACACTGAGATAAGTGGTCCATCGCTGAGGTAAGTGACCCAACACTGAGGTAAGTGGTCCAACACTGAGGTAAGTGACCCAACACTGAGGTAAGTGGTCCAACACTGAGGTAAGTGACCCAACACTGAGGTAAGTGGTCCAACACTGTGGTAAGTGACCCAACACTGAGGTAAGTGACCCAACACTGCACCATATCTCTACCACCTTACCTTGAGGTTACCTTGAGGTGATTCCGGGGCTTAGCGTCCCCGCGGCCCGGTCGTCGACCAGGCCTCCTGGTTGCTGGACTGGTCAACCAGGCTGTTGGACGCGGCTGCTCGCAGCCTGACGTATGAGTCACAGCCTGGTTGATCAGGTATCCTTTGGAGGTGCTTATCCAGTTCTCTCTTGAACACTGTGAGGGGTCGGCCAGTTATGCCCCTTATGTGTAGTGGAAGCGTGTTGAACAGTCTCGGACCTCTGATGTTGATAGAGTTCTCTCTCAGAGTACCTGTTGCATCTCTGCTTTTCAACGGGGGTATTCTGCACATCCTGCCATGTCTTCTGGTCTCATGTGATGTTATTTCTGTGTGCAGGTTTGGGACCAGCCCCTCTACTAGTTTCGACGTGTAAATTATTATGTATCTCTCCCGCCTGCGCTCAAGAGAATACAGATTTAGGGTCTTTAGTCGGTCCCAATAGTTTAGGTGTTTTACTGAGTGGATTCTAGCAGTAAAGGATCTCTGCACGCTCTCCAGGTCAGCAATTTTTCCAGCTTTGAAAGGGGCTGTCATTGTGCAGCAGTAATCCACTCTAGATAGCACAAGCGTTTTGAAAAGTATCATCATCGGTATAGCATCTCTAGTGTGAAAAGTTCTTGTTATCCAACCTGTCATTTCTCTTGCAGTTGTGACGGCTACTTTATTGTGTTCTCTAAAGGTATGGTCTTCCGACATGAGTACACCCAGATCCTTTACATTGCCTTTTCGTTCTATGTTATGATTTGCCTGAGTTTTGTACGTGGTTTCCGTTTTTATATTTTCCTTTTTTTCCGTAGATGGAACCGTTTTTCCGTAGCTGGAACTTATCTTCGTTAAACACCATATTATTTTCTGTAGCCCATAGAAAGACCTGATCTACATCTGACTGGAGGTTTGCCGTGTCCTCTATGTTGCCAACTCTCATGAAGATCCTAGTGTCATCTGCAAAGGATGATACAGTGCTATAGGTTGTGTTCTTGTCTATGTCCGATATGAGAATGAGAAAAAGTACTGGAGCAAGCACAGTACCCTGGGGGACTGAGCTCTTCACGGTTGATGGGCTGGATTTTATTTTGTTGACTATTACACGTTGAGTTCTATTAGTCAGGAAATTGTGGATCCATCTGCCTATTTTTCCGGTAATTCCTTTTGAACGCATTTTATGTGCAATAACACCATGGTCACGTTTGTCGGAGGCTTTTGCGAAATCTAGGTAAATTACATCAGCGTTTTGTTTGTCTTCCATAGCAACTAATGCCATGTCATAGTGATCCAGCAACTGCGACAGGCAAGAGCGCCCTGTTCTGAAACCATGTTGTCCGGGGTTATGGAGATGCTGTGATTCCATGTATTTGGTGATCGTACTTCTTAGCACTCTCTCAAAGATTTTTTATGATGTGTGATGTTAGTGCTATCGGTCTGCAATTTTTTGCCTCTTCCTTATTTCCTCCTTTATGGGGTAGTACTATCTCTGCTGTTTTTAGTATATCAGGAATAACGCCAGTATCTAGGCTTTGTCTCCACAGAATGTGAAGGGCCTGCGATAGTGTTTTTTCACAGTTCATGATGAATATAGAATTCCAAGAATCAGGACCTGGTGCAGAGTGCATGGGCATACTGTTTATTGCTTCTTCAAAATCCAGTTTGGATTTTCCTCTAAGTAACCACATCTTAGAACCAGGGACGCCATCTGTCCTCGAGAACGCCATCTGGCCCCAGGGACGCCATCTGTCCTCGAGAACGCCATCTGGCCCCAGGGACGCCATCTGGCCCCCAGACGCCATCTCTCCTCGAGAACGCCATCTGGCCCCAGGGACGCCATCTGGCCCCAGGGACGCCATCTGGCCCCAGGGACGCCATCTGGCCCAAGGGACGCCATCTGGCCCGAGAGACGCCATCTGGCCCCAGGGACGCCATCTGGCCCCCAGGCACGCCATCTTGCCCCAGGGACGCCATCTGGCCCGAGAGACGCCATCTGGCCCAAGGGACGCCATCTGGCCCGAGAGACGCCATCTGGCCCTAGGGACGCCATCTGGCCCCCAGGCACGCCATCTTGCCCCAGGGACGCCATCTGGCCCGAGAGACGCCATCTGGCCCAAGGGACGCCATCTGGCCCGAGAGACGCCATCTGGCCCCAGGGACACCATCTGGCCACAGGGACGCCATCTGGCCCGAGAGACGCCATCTGGCCCCAGGGACACCATCTGGCCACAGGGACGCCAGCTGGCCCCAAGGACGCCATCTGGCCCCAGGGGACGCCATCTGGCCCCTGGACGCCATCTGTCCCCGAGAACGCCATCTGGCCCGAGAGACGCCATCTGGCCCAAGGGACGCCATGTGGCCCGAGAGACGCAATCTGGCCCCGGGGACGCCATCGGGCCCCAGGGACGCCATCTGGCCCCAGAGACGCCATCTGGCCCCGTGGACGCCATCTGGCCCGAGAGATGCCATCTGGCCCCAGGGACGGCATCTAGCCGCAGGGACGGCATCTGGCCGCAAGGACGCCATCTGGCCCCAGGGACGCCATCTGGCCCCAGGGACGCCAGCTGGCTTCATGGACGCCAGCTGGCCCCAGGGATGCCACCTGGCCCCAGGGACGCCATCTGGCCCGAGAGACGCCATCTGGCCTCAGGGACGCCCTCTGGCAGCAGGGACGCCAGCTGGCCCCAGGAACGCCATCTGACCCCAGGGGACGCTATCTGGCCCCCGGACGCCATCTGTCCCCGAGAACGCCATCTGGCCCCGGGGGACACCATCTGGCCCCAGGGACACCATCTGGCCCCAGGGACGCCATCTGGCCCCAGGGACGCTATCTGGCCCCAGGGACGCCATCTGGCCCCAGGGACGCCATCTGGCCCGAGAGACGCCATCTGGCCCCAGGGACGCCATCTGGCCGCAGGAACGCCAGCTGGCCCCAGGGACGCCAGCTGGCCCCAGGGACGCCATCTGGCCCCATGGACACCATCTGGCCCCAGGGACGCTATCTGGCCCGAGAGACGCCATCTAGCCCCAAGGACACCATCTGGCCACAGGGACGCCAGCTGGCCCCAAGGACGCCATCTGGCCCCAGGGGACGCCATCTGGCCCCCGGACGCCATCTGTCCCCGAGAACGCCATCTGGCCCCAGGGACGCCATGTGGTCCGAGAGACGCCATCTGGCCTCAGGGACGCCATCTGGCCGCAGGGACGCCAGCTGGCTCCAGGGACGCCATCTGGCCCCAGGGGACGCTATCTGGCCCCCGGACGCCATCTGTCCCCGAGATCGCCATCTGGCCCCGGGGACACCATCTGGCCCCAGGGACACCATCTGGCCCCAGGGATGCCATCTGGCCCGAGAGACGCCATCTGGCCCCAGGGACGCCATGTTGCCGCAAGAACGCCAGCTGGCCCCAGAGACGCCAGCTGGCCCCGGGGACGCCATCTGGCCCGAGAGACGCCATCTGGCCCCGGGGACGCCATCTGGCCCCAGGGACGCCATCTGGCCCCAATGACGCCAGCTGGCCCCGGGGACGCCAGCTGGCCCCGGGGACGCCAGCTGGCCCCGGGGACGCCAGCTGGCCCAAGAAACGCCATCTGGCCCGAGAGACGCCATATCTGGCCCCAGGGACGCCATTTGGCCCCAGGGACGCCATCTGGCCCCAGGGACGCCCTCTGGCCGGAGAGACGCCATCTGACCCCAGGGACACCATCTGGCCACAGGGACGCCAGCTGGTCCCAAGGACGCCATCTGGCCTCAGGGGACGCCATCTGGCCCCCGGACGCCATCTGTCCCCGAGAACGCCATCTGGCCCCAGAGACGCCATGTGGCCCGAGAGAAGCCATCTGGCCCCGGGGACGCCATCGGGCCCCAGGGACGCCAACTGGCCCCAGAGACGCCATCTGGCCCCGGGGACGCCATCTGGCCCCGGGGACGCCATCTGACCCGAGAGATACCATCTGGCCCCAGGGACGGCATCTAGGCCCAGGGACGGCATCTGGCCACAGGGACGGCATCTGGCCGCAGGGACGCCATCTGGCCCCAGGGACGCCATCTGGCCCCAGGGACGCCATCTAGCTCCAGGGACGCCAGCTGGCTTCAGGGACGCCAGCTGGCCCCAGGGATGCCACCTGGCCCCAGGGACGCCATCTGGCCCGTGAGACGCCATCTGGCCTCAGGGACGCCATCTGGCCTCAGGGACGCCATCTGTCCCCGAGAACGCCATCTGGCCCCGGGGGACACCATCTGGCCCCAGGGACGCCATCTGGCCCCAGGGACGCCATCTGGCCCGAGAGACGCCATCTGGCCCCAGGGACGCCATCTGGCCGCAGGAACGCCATCTGGCTCCAGGGACGCTATCTGGCCCGAGAAACGCCATCTGGCCCCAGGGACATCATCTGACCACAGGGACGCCCGCTGGCCCCAGGGACGCCATCTGGCCCCCGGACGCCATCTGTCCCCGAGAACGCCATCTGGCCCCAGGGACGCCATGTGGCCCAAGAAACGCCATCTGGCCCCGGGGACGCCATCGGGCCTCAGGGACGCCATCTGGCCCCAGAGACGCCATCTGGCCCCGGGGACGCCATCTGGCCCGAGAGACGCCATCTAGCACCAGGGACGGCATCTGGCCGCAGGGACGGCATCTGGCCGCAGGGACGCCATCTGGCCCCAGGGACGCCATCTGGCCCCAGGGACGCCATCTGGCCCCAGAGACGCCATCTGGCCCCAGGGACGCCATCTGGCCGCAGGAACGCCAGCTGGCCCCAGGGACGCCAGCTGGCCCCAGGGACGCCATCTGGCCCGAGAGACGCCATCTGGCCCCAGGGACGCCATCTGGCCCCAGGGACGCCATTTGGCCCCAGGGACGCTATCTGGCCCGAGAGACGCCATCTGGCCCCAAGGACACCATCTGGCCACAGGAACGCCAGCTGGCCCCAGGGACCCCATCTGGCCCCAGGGGACGCCATCTGGCCCCCGGACGCCATCTGTCCCCGAGAACGCCATCTGGCCCCAGGGACGCCATGTGGCCCGAGAGACGCCATCTGGCCCCGGGGACGCCATCTGGCCCTGGGGACGCCATCTGGCCCCAGAGACGCCATCTGGCCCTGGGGACGCCATCTGGCCCGAGAGACGCCATCTAGCCCCAGGGACGGCATCTGGCCGCAGGGACGGCATCTGGCCGCAGGAACGCCATCTGGCCCCAGGGACGCCATCTGGCCCCAGGGACGCCATCTTGCCCCAGAGACGCCATCTGGCCACAGGGACGCCATCTGGCCGCAGGGACACCAGCTGGCCCCAGGGACGCCATCTGGCCGCAGGGACGCCATCTGGCCCCAGGGACGCCATCTGGCCCCAGAGACGCCATCTGGCCCCAGGGACGCCATCTGGCCCCAGGGACGCCATCTGGCCCCGGGGACACCATCTGGCCCCCAGGGACGTCATCTGGCCCCAGGGACGCTATCTGGCCCCAGGGACGCATCTGGCCCCGGGGGACACCATCTGGCCCCCCCAGGGACGCCATCTGGCCCCAGGGACGCCATCTGGCCCCAGGGACGCCATCTAGCCCTAAGGACGCTATCTGGCCTAGAGGACACCATCTGGCCCCAGGGGACACCCTCTGGCCCCAGGGACACCATCTGGCCTAGAGGACACCATCTGGCCCCAGGGACGCCATCTGGCCCCAGGGACGCCATCTGGCCTCAGGGACATTTCTGGCCCTGGGTACACCATCTGGCCCCAGGGACACCATCTGGCCCGGGGACACCATCTGGCCCCAGGGACACCATCTGGCCCCGGGGACGCCATCTGCATGGCCCGGGGTACACCATCTGGCCCGGGGACACCATCTGGCCCCAGGGACGCCATCTGGCCAGGAGGACGCCATCTGGCCCCAGGGACGCCATCTGGCTTCAGGGACACCATCTGGCCCCGGGGACACCATCTGGCCCCAGGGACGCCATCTGGCCAGGAGGACGCCATCTGGCCCCAGGGACGCCATCTGGCTTCAGGGACACCATCTGGCCCCGGGGACACCATCTGGCCCCAGGGACGCCATCTGGCCAGGAGGACGCCATCTGGCCCCCGGAGGCTCCATCTGCTCCCCATCTGGACCTGTATGATTACTGACGCCATTTACTGCGCCGTTCCTTCTCTAAATGTCACCAGGCAAGTTTAGTCTTCAATTTGTCATTATTCAGCACGTTCTCAAAGCTGTTCCATGACATGGGTGTTGTGGCTGCCCTTAGCTGGCTGGGGCTTGTTATTGCGGGAGGAAGGCATGGGGGTGTTGTGGCTGCCCTTAGCTGGCTGGGGCTTGTTATTGCGGGAGGAAGGCATGGGGGTGTTGTGGCTGCCCTTAGCTGGCTGGGGCTTGTTATTGGGGGAGGAAGGCATGGGGGTGTTGTAAAGTAAAGTAAAGTAAAGTAAATTTTATTCAGGAAAGTACATAAATAGTTGAATTACAAACACGATGTTGGATTTATAGATAGAGGTAGTACATACAATACCTAAAGCCACTAGTACGCATAGCGTTTCGGGTAAGGTGAGGTGGGGGAAAAACACTCAGACTAAAACTTAATAGTTATCGAGCTCAAAGTATAAAATGCGTTGAGAAAAAATAAAAATTAAAAGATAAAAAAGGGAGGAACATGGTAGACAATAGTCAAGGTACAAGTTGGTCACCAAACAGCATTGTTTAAAAATAGTAAGACATGGGTTGACATTTAGGGGGTAAGTTAGGTTATGTGGAGGTAATTAGGCGGTACTTAGTTTTCATCTTAAACTGGTTGAGAGAGGTACAGTCTTTAACATGATTTGGAAGGTCATTAATGTAGATGAGAAAGAGGAGAGGGCCTAGTATGCTGCCCTGTGGAACACCAATGTTTATAGGTAGGGTGGGAGAAATGGAATTATTCACAATGACATACTGGAGCCTGTCAGTAAGGTAAGACTGAAGGTATTGTAGGGAGTGACCCCTGACTCCATAATGTAATTTAAGAAGAAGGTTTTTGTGGTTGACAGTGTCAAAAGCCTTACGTAGGTCCACAAATAACCCAACTGGGAACTCATTTTTATTAAGAGCTGTATGTATCAAGTTAATCATACTAATAAGTGCATCGTTAGTGCTTTTATTAGGTCTGAAACCATATTGGCAAGAGCTAAGTATATTGAGTTTGGCTAGATATGAGTAAAGCTGATTGTAGATCAGCTTTTCAAATATTCTAGACAAAGTTGGCAGAATTGAGATAGATCTGTAATTGTTGACATCAGTGAGATCACCACATTTGTAAATTAGAGATGGTATCTCATCCTGGGCGCTTGACTTAGCTTTATGGGAAAGAATTACTTCATTAACTTCAGAGGAATTAGCGGGAGCTAGGTACAGAGACTCTGAATAGTTACCGGTAAGGTAGTCTTTAATATTAGTGAGTGAGGATGGAATATCATGAGCAAGGGATGTACCAATGGATGAAAAGAATCTATTGAATTCAATAGCAGTGTCTGAGGCCGGAAGCACACCATCGTCATTGGATAGGAGAATTGGTTTTTTATTCAAAAACTATTTTGAACCTAATATTTGGGAGATAGTGCTCCATGTTTTCTTAATGTTGCCCTTAATTTGGGTAAATTTATTTTCTTAGTATTTTATTTTAGCTTTTCTAATTATTTTAGACAGCATGGATAAGTAAATCTTTGAAAATTCTTTGGAGACGACGCCTAACCTATACTTCTTTTCAAGGTCATGTTTTTTATTAAATAATAAAAATAAATAAATAAATAAATGTTTATTTAGGTAAGGTACATACATACAAGAGATTTTACAAAGATTGATGGATTTATAGGTAGAGCTAGTACATACAATGCCTAAAGCCACTATTACGCAAAGCGTTTCGGGCATGAAAAACTTAAATGACTAAAACTTTAAATGTTTAAATGACTATTAATAGATTTAAGCCATGGAGTGTTTAACCTTTTATTTGTAACTTGTTTCGTTAGTATGACAGTGGGAGTTATAAAGATTCAGAGTTTTCTGAAGAAATGTTTGCACTGCTAGGTTGGTGTTCACTATGTCACCTAATTCAGCCTCCCAGTTGATATTAACAGCAGCAGCAGCATTAAAATTACTTATAGAAGTTTTATTGTGCAGCCTAAAGCTCATCTTCCTTGTCTCTAGTGGTGGTTTATTAATGATGGTTAGGAGAAATGTGGGGTAATGGTCTGTGGTCCTATCAATGATTATCCCTGAAATAAGTGGAGAGGTTATGTTAGTCCAGATGTGGTCAAGAGCAGAGGCAGTACTATCAGTGATTCTAGTAGGTCTAGTGATTAAGGGTATGAGGAAGTACGAATTCATACAATTGAGGATTCTAGCAGCAGGAGGGTTTTCAGGCTCGCAGAGGTCAATATTAAAGTCCCCTGCGATAATTAGATGGTTTTTGTTCAGTCTGTTATCTAGTATTAGATTTCTAAGGTTAGAGTTGAAATCGGACGCATCAGTGTTAGGAATTCTATAGACTGCACCCACAGTCAGGACAGACTCAGCACCCTTGACTCTGAAACTGGCAAAGATATACTCACCACAGGAGTCTTTAGTTCTAATTACTTTTAAGCAAGTCAGTTCTTGGTGGTAGTAAAGAGCAGTACCACCACCTCTCTGAATTGGTCGACAGATGTGAATTGCTGAGTAGTTTGGCAAGTTAAAGAGTTGAGAAGTATCCTCTTTTAATCACGTTTCAGTAAGTATAGCAAAAGAGAATTTGTTGTCATCAGTTTGAATCAAGGTACTAACATCATCAAAGTGTTTGCTTAGAGTTCTTACATTCAAGTTTTTTACAGAGATATTGTGATAATGTATTAATACATTGTTTACATCATGTGCTGTAAAATATCTGTAATTTTGATCATTATAGTGATGATTGTCATAGATAGTGGATAAGAAGTTTAG